TCTGAATATTTTTACATAAACTATAATTTGTAAAAAAAAAAAAAAAAAAAATGGAAGTAAATGGATCCGTCTTTGATTCTGTTCTTGCGTCTCGTTTTTGCCGGTGTCTGAAAATGTCGCATGGATCTGAGAGATATTTCTTTGTCTTTGCTAATGTCACGTCTGTGGCTTGTAGAGTTTCAGGATGTGGTCCTCCAACACTTTCTGAACTAGAAGAGAAAGAAAAGTATTTGTCTATAAAGATGAATAATGAGAGCAGCCAGTAATTATAATTACAACATTTGTATCCTCAGAATCAATGCTAATCATAGTAGACATTCCTTTGTCTTCATGCCTTGCAAAAACATTGGTGATAATTTTACATTGTTACACACAATCAAGCTTTTTTTCATTGGAATTTTTTAAAGTAAAACCTCAAATGTGGTGATATTTGGTAACTGATCTTTAACAGAAATCTGAAAATTAGTGCCACAAATGAATTGGTTTAAATAGAAGGTATTTTACAATTAAATTAGTAAACAAATGCACAAGAACACAGAGTTGTCAAGTCTGGGAAATCATTTCTAATTAAGATTCTTGCATCATGAGGTAAGATGTGTGGTGGAAGTCCTACATAGAAAACCTGATTATGCCATCCTTATGGCAAAGCATGGTGGAAAACTGCCTTTTATTTTCTTTTATCAAGCATTTCCAAGACAACTGGTGTAGAGAATTACATAAAAACCAGGAACAAGTCCTGGTGGCTTTTTCTGCTTTGTTCCATTTGCTATTAGTTTGATTTAGGGATGATTTCAAACAAAACTTAATTGGGTTTTTGTTCCAGATTTGAAAAGCCACACAAGTTTTTGAGACCTCTGCATTCATCAGTGTGATATTTTTGTTCTTGAAAACCCTGAATCACACAAACAGACACATGTACCGAACAGAAAACACGTGAAAGATTTAACAAAATGCCTAATCTATAAAAATTGATGCAAATAAATTATCTTATTTAACTTATACAAAATGTTTGTTTTTTAATTTCATTTGTCAGAAACTGCAATGACAACTATTTTAAAAAATGAAAATCAGAATCAAGTTTATTGCCAAGTAGATTTGCACTTACAAGGAATTGGAATTGGTGTTGATGGTGCAAGGAAATTCGATATACATACGGAATACAGGATCTATAGTTATATACAATATAAAAGATACCACCTGTGCGTTAATGTAATGCAGGTGGTCTGGTAGATGCTACGTAGGTGTAGCTTCCCTGTCCTGAAATGGGGGAGGGATACGCAGTGTCACGGGGGTCTCTGGGCCGCCTTGTTGTTAAGGCTGGTAGCGGATGGGAAGAAAATTTTCTTGTGGCGTGAGGTTTTGGCCCCGACGGACCTACAGGAGGCTGCGGTCAAATTTCTGTCAATTACCATATGGTCCAGGCTTTAAAGGGTTCTCTATTTATTCATCATATAAAACACCTGTTTCAACATGTCCACTTAATAGGGCCAAATAGTATGGCAGGGCTTGATGTTAACCATTGCCCGATCGCCCGGGGCAAGTAGTTTTTATTGTCGGGAGAGTACAAATTTCATTGCATTTGCCCGCCGGGCAAGTGCAATGAAAGCAAAAAAACAATTATTTATCACTCAAAAATTACTTTAAAATCACAGACATCGCTGAAAACGACCCACAAGCGTTGCCGCCACCATTTTTGTTGTTTTGTAAACATTCTCGCGTGATTTGAAAAAGGTGCGTGATTTGAAAAAGCCGGGTGATTTTCCAGCAGATGGCGTGATTTTTGTCCACCTAGCGGTAATTTTGATGTAGTTAACAAAACGACAAACGAGCTACAAAGCGCTATCATATGTCAGTCTTCTGTACAGTGATGCAGGTCATACATAAAAAAATTTTCATAAAATTTTTTTCTCTCAGACATTGCAGAGGTGCATTTAAATGTTATAGAGCTAAACATGTTAAATTGGTGACCTGTTATGTTATTATTATTGTCTTGTTGCTGCATTTATTTTGTCAGGGAAAACTAATCCTGAGTCAGTTAAAAATCAGGGAATTATGAAATTATGTAAGACTGTGGAAACCCTGTATAAAATGACTATGTATAATGATTAAAAAAGTCACATATTAATAGCATTATCTTCTATAAACATACTGTGACTCTAAAATAAAAGTTATTCATTTGTGACATTGACTTCTGTCTTGTGATTTATCTTAAGTTTTTAACCTGTCAAGTTTTTTTTTATTTTTTTTATTTTTAACATTACAATTTATATTTTTCCAAGCACACAACAGTTTAAAGCAAAGTTTATTTAAAAAAGAATGTGCAGGAAGGATTGAAAAGCATGTTATCACGGTAATGTAGGATTGAGTTCATTATCTGACGCATGCATATATACACACCAGGAACCTGGAAACTTAAAAAATACTGAATTACAAAAAACATTTAAAAAACAAACATGTTTCATTGATATATATACAAAATGAATATTAGGAACTATATTTATCAAACATTATACTGGGCAAGTAAAAATTGTTTCCCCTGTATGGTATGCATTTCTAATGGATATTTGGACATAAATTGGTTCAGTTTAAGTTTGTTTTTTTTTGTTTTTTAACTGCGGTCAACACCAAGTTTTATATCCATATCCTCTGTCATCCCTATACAGAACTCTGACTCTGGGGGATGTGTAACATGTAGCATCTATGCTCTGCTGTATGACATTTCTTGTTAAAGTAAGACTTTGATTTGGAAAAACTTTGTTTTTATTAAGACAGAGCTTGTTGAAAAGATATATATCCCAAAACAACTGATTTGGATTACAGCATATTAACATATCAGAGTCTGTCTGACTGAACTGGAGTATTTATGAAGAGAAGAACAGGAAAAAATCCTAATCATAACTGCAAAGCTAATAGAGACAAAGCTCAAAATTCTTGCAGTTGTGAATGTAGAAAAAGATGGTTCTACAAGGTACTGACTTAAGGGAATCAAAAAACACAGAATTTAATGATTTCCACTACTTTGTATAGGTCTATTACATCAAATAAATGACATAAAAGATTGTGATTCTAATACGAGGCGCATACATACTTTTTTTGTGTCCGAGTGCTACAGCTAAGGCCATTGGACTGTAGCCAGAGTCTGACTCAATGGTCATATCTGCTCCTTTAGCTGTAACAGATCACCTTTGTTAGAATAAACTCATTTAAATTAGTGGTTCGGAATTTTGTTCATGAATAAGAGATGTTGCATCATACCAAGTAGAGCTTCTACACATTTGATGTGGTTTCCTCGTACAGCATATAGAAGAGGAGTTCCACCATTCTGGGTATAAAAGACAAGAACAAACAACTGTTATTTATATATAATAACTTCTTTTGTACATTTATCTTCATTATGTGTCAGGGAAAAGTATAAAGATCCAACTGTACCCAGTCGTAGGTGTTAATATCCACTCCATGTTTGAGAAGTGAATCAACGATATCCACATATCCCCCAGAGCTGGCCAATGTCAGGGCACTCTCTCGCTCCCTCGCAATCGTATTGGGGTCTGCACCCTTTGAAATAATTTCTTAATACTAAACTGATGGAAAATTTCACTACATTTCTATTAAACCTGTTTTGTTTTCTAACCTTTTCTAAGAGAAAGTCCACCATTGCTTTTTCCCCAAACGCAGCAGCCCACATGAGGGGTGTAAAGCCTCGATCATCCTGTCTGCTGAGCACTGAACCATCTGCAAGATGAGACAAAGTACACTGCGTGTGCAGAAATGTGGAATCATTTGGTATTTAAAACATAAAGCAGGATGTCTTTTCCTTTACCTTTACTTATATGTGCAGCCACTTGTAAAACATCGCCTTGAGCTGCCAGCTGATGAATGGACAGAGCTGTTGGGGGTTTGCAACATAATTCAATTGATCCAGGAATGATGTTTACATGCGTGAACATAACATGCTTTTCATTGTCTGCTTATCTGAATAAACTCATAGTATGAGAAACAAGTAAAAGGACTTTTATTGAAAAATAAAAAGAATAACTTGCTACAGAAGGGTTTTTGAATTTTTCCTCTCTAATCCACACATTTTTAAATGACTGTTGGAAAATGATGTTGTTCCAACAGATTAAGTTTTATATTATGCTTTAGCTTTCATGGTTCCTGAATTGTTTTATGTTTAAACTCTACAACCAAATGAAAATTCAATTCTTGTTTAAATAACATTGCATTATTATGATTGCCTGGGCCAACAATCAAAAGTTCCAGATAAATATGGAGATGTGTCCCTTTGCTTGGAAAGGCCAAGCGTTTAAGTGTGATTACTTACAGTCTAATGTTGCAGGCCGCATTGTCACTTCATTCCCACGCTGCTTGTTGGTCAGAGTGGTGGAGTGTTTAAAGATGTCATCTTCCTCCTCTAGAGACAAAACAAAACAAAAAAGGAGGAGAAATGTGTTACAGTCCGACTGATCTAAGGTTGTCATCATCATCAGATGGCACTGATAAGGTGATGCGTCATGAACGTGAGCACATCTGTAGGATAAAATACCGCTTGGATTTCCATGTGTTGAACTGGAGGACAATTCAGCTGCGTTAGAAGGCTGAATGTGATGTCCATTTGCTACCTCTTCATCATCTCTGATCTCCATCATAACTAAATAAAAACAACATAATATTAAATTATGTCACCACGTAAGAAAGTGAGAGTTAAGGAAAAATAGTTTAAAAACATTTTTTTTTTTTTATTAACTCGCCTCATCCAGCCACATTCACAGGCGCACTTCCTTTTAGGGAAAACAGAAAGTAAACAATTTCAGCTTGAACTCCCGATCGTTTTCGTTCCTGAGCTATTTCTGAAACAGAAACACTCCTGAGGTTGTTCCGTTTATTGAACCAAATTGAAAAATAGGTAATTTGAACAAATAAGATAACAAAACATTTGAAGCAGCGGTTCGTTTCGGGCATCTAAGCGCCAGTATCTACATTGAGGAGGAAAAACAAACAGTCCGTGTTTCTGGACGGAATCATGTCGTGATGCACATACGGACAATAATACGGAAGTAGGAATCAGCTGACGCTGCTGATCACGCTTTTGGCTTCTGACGGGAGAAATACGTTGCTTTTGAAATGGAAGACCAAGAAATGCAAATTAAAGTTAGAAGAGGTAAATGGCAGAGATATAAAACTAAGTATATGAAATAAGCACATTTCTAATAACATTTACGTTGTAGCGATATGAGATGCTATAGCTAGCGCCTAAGGCTTTCATAAAACGATCTTCTTTGCTTGTATATCCCTTATTATGTTTAAATTAAATATTTCATTTGTGTCATCATTTTCCTGGGGATTTCTGATCCACAGTGAGTGACAAATTCACGGAGAGTATGAACGTCCTGGCTAACGAGCCATCGGTTGCTCTCTACAGGCTGCAGGAGCATGTCAGAAGGTCCCTACCTGAGCTGGTGCAGCACAAGGTATTCCTCTTTGTTCATTTTCACACTTTACGGATGTCAGTATCATTTTTGAAGTAAAAATTGGGGATGTAAATACGCGATTTGATAGCAAATTCAAAGGAAACTGCAAACATACATTTCCCTGAAAAAAATTTCAAATTAACATTTAAGTCATACAAATAAAAATCCAGTCTGAAAGGTGTTTTCTACTTTTACATTTCAAATTGATTTATAAAAAAAAATGTAATCCATTATTAAAAACTGCTATATGAAAAGTATTTTCAAATCCTATTTCCAGATTTAGAAACCACAATCCGTAAAACTGATTATAACTACCTTTCTTAATCACACATTTCAAAAGGTAATCTTCTGATCTCTTAGCACACTGAAAACATTTTTGAATTAAAAAAGCTTCCTGGATGGGAAGCAAAACCAGTTTGCACATAATTTAAATGAGCAAGGATTTCATACAGACAAACTAAATATCCCATAGCTCTGTGTCTAATGGACTATCCTCCACTGCAATAGCAATCCTCTGGATTGCAGCTCCTGTAGGTTTTTTTGTGCCCTTTGATATCTTTGACGTTGGCTAAATCAGAGCCACTCTCTGTTGCATCAAAATCTTGCAGACATGGTCTTACAGACTTATTAGATCTTGGAGCTGAGTCCAAATCAGAGGAACCTTGAGTGTCTTCAGCTACGACACCCAACGCACCACCCTGTCCAGAGGGAAATTTTTAAGATTTAAGAAATCATTTTATTTTGTATTAACAAAAATGTATAAATAAGATCAGGAAAAATTAAAAGGTTTTTATGCAGTTTTGATTGTATGTCTTTAATATTTTTGAAGAAACATTATTGTTAAAAATAATAATTTATCATCAAAGATATGATGAGAGATTATCGTTATTGGGCTTCTAAAATATTATAGTTATAATTGCCATTTTGGATTAACAATCAGTAATCATGAACTAAATTTACCCGTAGTGGTTGGATGTTATAGACTCATTATTATAGACTTGGTTTTGTTCAGCCAATAGTAATTTTAGATAATCGTAATGTAATAGCTATTGACAATGAATAGCAATTCACCAAAATTCCTGTAAATATCAGTGTATTCTTAACCTTAGCACTAAATTTTAGAGAAGGCAGATCACAGTTGTATAAACCTAAGCATAGTCCTCTATCTCCATCTATGCTTAGATGTAATTAATACAATAGTTCACTTTTACATTCGACTGTTTTGTCCTAACTAATGCAAACTTACTACTAAATAATGAACATAAAAGAAAAATAATAAAATAATTAATCTTGATTCGATTCAATTCAGTTTATTCATATAGTGTCATTTCACAACACATGTCATCTCCAGGCACTTTACAGAGACAATACATTCAGGTAAAGGCCTGCAACAATTATTTTGCAAACTGATTAATCTGTTGATTATTTTTGCAATTCATAATCGAATAGCTAAAGGTTCCTAAAGTTGGGGAGAGGCACAATTTCATAGGCCGTACTGCCATAAAATGTGCTGCCTTTTTTAGGAAGAAAAATGAAAGAAAGGGATCCCAATAGGTCAGAGAAGGGAAAATAATCATATTTCATATTTTATCCATAGCATTATACAGTTTAAGACTCCATAAAACCCCCGCACATAGCAAGAACAGATAACATGACGTCTTGCAGACTGGTTGAACAATCAGTCAGTGTGCAAAGTAAGTCCATGGAGCACTGTTCCCAGGGTCAATGTCCTTGACAGATGCAACAGTTTGTCAGCCGACCAACAAGGCAGCTTCACAGATGTCTTTAGTGAAAATAAAACTTTTCCACTTGACCAGTTCTGGATAGAGCATATTGACAGACAAAAACATTTTTTTATCTTAAATGCAAAATGTTTATATATTTTATTTTTAACTATTTTGGTATAATTACTGCTCTAAGTGTGTTGCTCCTTCAGCTAAAGGGATGTTTTACAGTCTCTATACTCCATTTAACAATTAATCAATTACTAAATTAGTTGACAATTAGTTCAATAATTGATCAATCACGATTAATCTGATTAATTATTTCAGCCGTAGTCAAGTTAGTTAAACATTTCTATCAAGGAAAACCAGCTGATTGCTTCCAGTCACTGACTTGCAGGACATGATGAACCTGCGGCGACGACTTTTGCTTGCATTTTAATAGCTTTCACCCGCCATTTATTAATTCCAGCATGAAAAGCTGTCAAGAGAAAATCGTATAGATCAATGATCATCATAATTAATAGGGCTTCAATATCAGCAGTTGGCAGGGGACCAATCCAATTGTTAGGTCAGTTTAGATCATGCTGTCATTGGCAAAGAAAAGTCAGACCATGAAGCAACAGATGCAGGCCTAGCTTGCTAGCTATGAAGCAGATAGGTAGCTTCATATATAGCAAAGCTCCTGTGTGGCTTGAAGAGAGGCTCCCTCAAGTCTTTTATTCCCTTTTTTGTGATCTTAGAGCTGCAATGCATGTCAATAGGTGTAATTACAGCCCCTTCCTTGCATTCAGGCCCAACAAGGTCTGTTATTTAAAGACAGTATGTGCCTTAATCTAGCGGACCATCTTAAATCTCTTCTTAAAGGGGTATTACTTGTAATTTTAAACATGTGTGGTGCACCCGCCATACAGCCATGCCACACAACCAAATCCTGTTCAGAGCCCTCTTTGTAGTATTTTTCACAAAACTTTATAAGCTGTAAAAAGCTAGCATCAAATTTGGCAAATAGGCATCAAGCAGATCATTGCTTCAGCGTGTTTTTATTTGAATGTAGCCATCCTTGGGTTCATTTTCACACTGGCAACAAGGTTGTAGGAATATGTACATTTATAAAAGTTAAAAATGGTAGAAAATGCCTCTTAAGGATTGATGGTATTTCAGAGTTCCTTTTTTTTATTACCCATTTTTATTTCACTGTCTCATTCTAATACACGGTGCTCAAAAATAGAGTGAGCTCAAAATGTAATGAATCATATCTGATTTCAAGGAAACAAAGACAATTTCAAAAAACCTTTTTTAAAGAAACATGCAGAAACGCACCTTTCCATTAAATGAACTGAACTTTTAGTTTTAGAATGCTGTTAAACTCAATGTCTGCAGTATTTAATGGTTTGATCTTTCTTACCTTTCTGGTACAGACAGATATGCAGAGCTGGGAAGAACAAAGTCAGGGAGCCATCTACACTGTAGAGTATGCATGCAGGTGAGCAGATTCATGATGTGACTTTAATTATTCAAGCAGAACTCCAAATGCTTTTATTATTAAAAGCTAATTCTGTTGTCTTTGTTGTTTTTGCAGTGCCGTGAAAAGCATGACAAACAGCAGTGTGTATTTCAAAAACATTGACAGCCTTCTTCGACAAACCATCACCGTGAAGGAACAGATTAGTAACCTTCAGGGCCGCAGGTACAAGCATTTTCTAAGTCTGAGTGCATCTGCTTTTAGATTTCTAGAATCATAGAAAGTCAATTTCAGAATCCAGGTCTGAATTTGATCAAAGTATGTTAGTAAAAAAAGAATTAAAGCGTATGAAGGGGGCTATGGAGATTTTTCATGTGCAAAGAAAAGAAGTAGGGATTTTTATTTTCTAGGTTTATGAACTAAAATATTTAAATGAGCCAAAGTTAAATTATTACTAATTCCTCCTGTTTGGTATATTGTTCAAGAAAAGAGTATAAAATTCTCCACAGTTACTCAGAAGTTGAGCACTTGAAGTAGGTCTGGCTGAAGAATATTCAGCGGCTGTGTTCTCTGAAGGCCAGAGTCGTCGGCCGATTTCTTCATAGCGAGGCCTGTTTGGATTGGAAGACTCCTCATTATGTGACCAACAAATGGAGCCTTATAATAATAACAATTTCGAGGAGCTTCAGCAGCAGTACAGTCATCACAGATATCAGATTTATAGTCCCCTCACTGTAGAGATATTGAAATCTGAGCTTAAATGTCAGCCAAACCCATTTACACAGGGACAGATAAAACCTTACAATAAACCAAACATTATTCGGCACATATCTGACTCAATAACCATTTATTACAACTATTTTCATTAATTTCAGACGGAACTATTCACATACTTTTATTATTAACTGTCAAAAATGACAGTTTTAAAGGGTGGGTCCAATGTATCCTACGTAGCCTTGGGTATCTCAGGATTCATTGTGAGTACAAGCTGGCTGCGCCGTGCTCAGAGGAAAAAGGGAAATGGTGCCTAACAGTGTTTAATATTGGAAGTGCAGTTTGATATAATACCAGTATCAGAACAGTTCCGTCTGAAATGAAAGACAATTAATTAAAGACTGCTTCAGTAGTTCCACTGAGAGCAGATTAATAACCCAATGCTTGGTTCAAGCCTCTAGACCAGAGCTCTCAAACTCCAGTCACAGATTGTTGGGTTTCCTGCACCTTAGATGTTTCTTTGCTTCAACACACCTGCTTCAAATGTCAGCATAACTTTCCAGAGCTTGACTGCATCCTAGGGAGGTAATTAAGCCATTTCATTCAGGTGTGCTGGATCAGGGTCATCTAGAAAAGTTGAAGGATATCAGCTTTCAAGGGCTCAAGTTTGACACTCTAAACTTTTTGTTTGTTTTTGTTGTCACATTGTTTTTCCAATCAGCAGAGAGAAGTATCACTGTTAGTGTCTTCTCGCCTCCTTAGATGTAATCAGGGCACAGCTGCCATATATGACCCACGTTTCTAAATAAACAGCCTTCTGTTTGGGTTGACTTTAGCTTTATCGATTCATCAATATCATTTCAAATCAAAACAGCACCAATACATGATCATATAACATTGGGGGATCCTTAATCACTTCACACTTTTTAATGAAACTTGAGGAAACTCTTGAACAATATTAAGTAAAAATCTGTACATGCACGCAGTGTTTCATATCACTGAACTTAGACCTCAGATTTTCAAACATCATTTGACAAAGAATCATCTTGCCCACATTAACCCCCTCATTTCATGGTGAGTCTTCCCCTCCTATTAGTTCATTTTGCCAGCGTTTTTGAACATATCAGGCAATAAATGCCAAGGCTTCAAATTCAAAGGTAACATACTTTGAAAGAAAATGACCAATTGAGTTCTCAAATAATAGATACATAATAAAAACACTTATTGTTCCCCTTCAGTGCGTAAAAGCCATAATGTTTAAGAAAATCACATTTGGACATTTGTTTTATGAATCTTCTGAAATAAAATAAAAAGTGAAACTAGATGTTTAAAATATTCTCTTTGATACATTGCAGTTTCCAGACTGACTTCTAAAGTCAGAATTTGAGACTTTTGAACTTAAAATCAGCCACTTCACTGAAAAAAACAATTGGTACTGCTAACATGTCCAGGAGCCTCATGCAGAAAAGAGTGAAGACAACCTTCTCATTTTTTTTATTTCATTTATTTATTTATATATTATTTTGTATATTTACACCTTTACACTTTTGTTCATAGAAATTGGTTGTGCTCAATAACTGTCGTTTAGCATTAGATATATGATATTTTAAAGCATATTTTATCATCATTACCTCCGGTTACATGGCTTAGAACCTTGTCTTTCTTTTACCACCACCCTATGCCAGGAGAACTGAAAATCTGCTCCTTTTATTGAGGCAGAACCAAACCAGTTTGCACTTCTTAACATTTGCCCAGCAATCTTTGCAGATCTCCCATCATACGCCCACTTATTGTGCACACAAAAACCAAATTGCATGTATATTTATAAAATCGTTATTTAATGATTATTGAAATAATCATCAACTAATTTAGTAATAGATTAATCGTTAACGTGAGAACATAGATTCTAAAATATGCCATTAGCCGAAGGAGCGACCCACTTAGAGCAGGGATTATACCAAAACTGTAAGAAAAAAAAAAAAAACTATTTATGTAAATATTTAGCATTCAAGATAAAAGAAAGATCTGATCTATCCAGAACGCCTCAAGTGAAAAAGTTTGAATTTCACCTGGTTTAGGTCTTCTTTAAGGATTCAGTGGCTATCTGATTATTAATCGAATCATCAAAAAAATAATCGACAGATTTGCTAATTTTGCAAAATAAACGTCAGTTGTAGCCCTAATCTGAACCAGAAAATGATCCGTGCATCATCATGTATCAGCAGGTCAGTAGGGTCCCCTCAATATTCATCAGTGGCCATGTTCTCCAGCAGTGGCCAAGGCTGCCATTCCTTGCATGTTTAAGCACAGTTTTACACGGCTGTTTATGGCCACGTGCAAATGTTCACACCTTGTCCACCAGGTGAATCATCACATCTGACTAATTTGCAATTATATTTATTGTGTTTATTGGCTATCCTGGCCAGCCAGATTCATTTACGCTGTTAGGATGCTCTTAGAATGAGGGGGTCCCCTTGGCCAACAGAGCCATGCGGTTAAATGCGAATCTGAGTCATCATTCCAATGGGAGATATGCAATGAACTTCGCTGGACTCATTTAAGAATTTTCTTTAAACACCTTAGCTAATGTGACTGAAGAATAGGGGACAGCTATGGTATTACCCAATATCGGTTTACTTAGACTTAGACTTCCTTTATACCGATACACTTCCAGTCCAGGGGCAGATCTAGAAGGGTGGCCGGGGGGGGGCATGCACACCCCTACCAGCTGACTTCTGGTTCCCCCAGGATTGAATTCAGTACCCCTGGAACAAGCAATTCTCCGCTAAACCTAATGGAGGCAGTAGTGATACCTTACTTTGAAAGAGACATTTTAATGCTGGTATATTAACCAAAAACTGAGTATAAAAATCCTGCAAAAAATAATAATTTACAAGAATATGCTACAAATAAAGAGGACCAATACAGAATGTTTGCTCTTTTATGAATTAGTTTTTAGGTTTTATTTGGGACAGGTTGTCCCTGCAGTTACATAGGACTCTTCTCTAAAGATGAAAAACATTGCTCCATCCATTTAAGGCTTTTAATATGTAGAACCATGACTTAATTCAAATGGCACTAATATATAAATATGTGCATAGCTTTATCAGAAGGGAAAATCTGGTCTGTTGTGACAGATTTATTGGGAAAATATAGATGTTGTGCGCGTTCTTTTTCCTGTCGGTTTGTTTTAAACAGTATAGTTCTCAGCCACCCCTTGGTGTACAGTGGCTCCTGCCTTGAAAGTGTTCTTGAACTACCACTGGCCAGGTATCTTGCTAATGTGGCCACCTCTGGAAAACCCTGGCCACCCCAGTTAAAATCACCTAGAACCGCCACTGTTCCAGTCAAGGAGGCAGAATTAGTAGGTTTGGGAATGATTTGCTGCAGCTGGACCTTATTAGCTCACCATCATAGAATCCACCATATATCTGAATGTGTCTCAAAGGAAGTTTGATTAAATAAATAAACACAGTTTGAGCAGAACTAGACCCTGAACATGCAAACATCTCAGAGCTTAAAGGAATAGTACACCCAAAACATGATTAGCCTTCATTTTCTACTCACCCCCATGCTGAACAACACTCTGGAGTACTTTTTTGATATCTCAAATGCATCTGGAGATCTGGGAGGCTTCTTGCCGTCTGCTGACATTCAAATAATGGAGGTCTATGGTGCCCGAGACAGAAAGGTCCATAAAAGTCCACAAAAACGTGTCAATATTCCTCCATACTGCTCGTCCAATGTAATCCAAGTGTCCTGAGTGGGTAGCATCCAGAATTTACTCGAAACGAAGTCATTTAGAATGTTTTAGAGCCTAAACAGTAGTGTATAGGATTTCCTAATAGCGCCCCCATGCGCGCTCACGATTCTACGGAAGCCGGCACACCAAACCAGCGCATTCAGCTCGGCAAAGAACTCATGCTCTTCCTCAACACTGAAGTCCTCAGACATTTTTCTTTCGTTGTTTCTTTCTTTGCACAGGTAAACAGCACATTTCTTCTTCTACGCTTGCATTATCGGCAGAGCAGACGCTGAATGCGCACTTTCTTCCGGTTTGGTCTGCCGGCTTCCGTAGAATCGTGAGCGCGCATGGGGGCGCTATTAGGAAATCCTATACACTACTGTTTAGGCTCTAAAACGTTCTAAATGACTTCGTTTCGAGTAAATTCTGGATGCTACCCACTCAGGACACTTGGATTACATTGGACGAGCAGTATGGAGGAATATTGACACGTTTTTGTGGACTTTTATGGACCTTTCTGCCTCGGTCACCATAGACCTCCATTATTTGAATGTCAGCAGACAGCAAGAAGCCTCCCAGATCTCCAGATGCATTTGAGATATCAAAAAAGTACTCCAGAGTTTTGTTCAGCATGGGGGTGAGTAGAAAATGAAGGCTAATCATGTTTTGGGTGTACTATTCCTTTAAAGTAAAGACGATTGGAACTTCCTCAGAGTGATGTAGAAAGCAAAGGGTTAAAATTAGAGGTCTGCCTCCTCAGACAGAAAACACATTTTCTTTCATTTAATTAATAAACATTGAGTTTTGGGATTTGACCACTCAAGTTTAATCACATGACCTTATTTGTCTGTCTACCCTCACCCACTTATAGGTCTTTGTTCTTTTTTTTCATTTCACCTCATTATATTCATTTGCCTTTTTATTTACTTCTTATTGGGCTAACTTTAAGTTTTAGTTTTCTTTTGTTTGTGTTCTTGTTTATTTCATTGTTATTTTTTCCCATTAACACCTGCATGCAGACCAATTGATGTGACTCCATCTCCTGGTCCCTCTCTTCCTGCTCCATCATCTGCTTCCTCATGAACATTTGACAGATGTGTCCAAGGTCAGTAGCTCCTCTAGACACGGTGTGATTTCACAATAAAGTGTCATTACTAGATCACACAGTTTTATAACTGGTATTTAATTTAGAAATGATTATATTTTAAGTAAAAAGCTGTTTTTCTAGAGTTTATTTAAGATCTGTATGGAGTCACACAAAACGTTTGCACATTTCTGATAAAAAGACACTTTATACAGTGAAATACTTGGTTATGCATATTATTTATATGAAGTTAGTGAAAGATAATTTTAAGCATAGACTGATCGGTAACATCAAGGTTTTACATTTTTTTAAACTGCAAACATTTTCCGTCTTTGCATTAATTTCATTTGATGTCTGTTACTGTGGACTGTTGCTAAAATAGCTGAATTAACATTTCCCAAACAATTCTTTTAACTTAAGGCTGGACATACACTTTACAATGTTTTAAATCTTTGCACGCAGCTACAGCTCAAACTGTTCAACAAAACTTCAGGGTTTAAAAGTTTACAGCTCACGATGGATGTTGTTAAACTGTATAGCCCGATGCTTTGATGCGATCTAAAGCTTAAAATATAATCGTACATTGGGTTATCGTGCCGGTCTGTGCGTGCCGTGCTCGAGCCCATAGGAGCGCTGTACCATTTTATAGTTGATGCGGATTTAGATGCAGTACCCGAAAAAAAACACAGAGGGGCAGTGATCAACATAAGAAGGGGAAAGGCAAAAAAAAGAAATGAGAAGAAACAGTTGAGGTCCCACTTCCAAAATGGCCGATCAGAGTATTTTTTTTATTTAAAAAGTGGTGATTTTTGACGATTAGGTGTGTTACACTAGCCTCGTGAGACCATCCTGATCTCGCGAGCTTTCAAGGTTTCACTCGCTAATAAGTCTGGAGATTCTCCGTTGAAGAACATTTGGAGCCGTTCACCAAACGAACGTCCAATCAGCGATGGCTTTGAGGCGGGTTGAGGTGTAACAACGAGAAGCGCAACAGTTCAGTCTAAAGAACATGGCGGCTTCAGCCAATGAAACTAGCGTTAGCGTGGCTATCAAGCAAGTTTTATCGGAATTACAGAGTATTTCTTCACTGAAAGAAGAGCAAAACACTGCTCTGGAGGCTTTTCTCAGAGGAAAAGATGTTTTTGCTCTTCTCCCGACTGGTTTCGGCAAGAGTAGCCTGGCTGTTAGTACGTCATATGCTTCGTTGATCTGATTGGTTTATATGGCCCGTCTATCACCAACATAGGCCAAGCTAACCAGTATTTTCGCCCATTCCCAAAATTACTTAAACCAAAGGTTTCCAGATGGATATGCGGAGCAAATCCATCTGGCGGAGTCAGGTTAGTGTTACACAGAAATATATGGTGGAATAAAACGGTAGGTTTATTTGCTGCAACGGAGATGTGAGGATGGGGAAACCAGTCCCCTTCCTGCGAAGCCCATACGGACCTTTCTTTTTTTATTAACATGTATAAATTAATCTTTCACTTAATTAAAGCCGAATGCGCTGTACACTATGGGTAGTTCTTTTAGGCTTTATTTTGTATGTGATGGAAACAGAAACTAAAATCCTTGTTTGTACCACAAGCTTGGCCAATAAACTCACTCCTGTATGCCATTTTCAGTCATTGAATGAACAGTAACAACACTGCATTTAATTGCACTCTTCAACTATAACCTTTTGCACCATTTGATGTCAGTAAAGGCCAACTTTTTCATTGAGAACAACTTCATTTCCTCCCATTGGAACGAGGTTGGCGCACTATATAGAAGAATTCGGAGGTATGATGTGGCAAGAATAAACCAAGCTTTACTGTTAACACTGCACGTCCAAAAACCACACGTCAGATTCGCTGTCAAGAGATGGCGTTGGTCGGACTCATCAATCTGGAAGGAGGAGAACTCCCTTGTTTGCACATGCACAGTGTGCGAGGTTCTGGTAAATCAGCTTGTAGATGCTCTTAGCCCTGCTTCAATTGCAGGATTTGCCCACAAACACCTTACAATGGCCGACTGAATTCCAAATATGTTTGATTTTTCTCCTGACCTTACGATTCCTGATGGTGAGTTGGTCGTTAGAGGCTGATCTTCCCTTGTTACCCCCTGTATACTAGACGAAGCAGGACGCACAATGAGGCTGAATTCGGCACGATCCAAAAAATTCTCACAACACGTGATAATCGGTCCGGAAAGGGGAAAAACTCGTACAGTGTATGCCCAGTTAGAGAAAGAAGAAGCTCTTTGGAAATATTTCCATGAAATATGTGTTTGACAAAAAAAAAAAAAAAAACATATCCAGCTATGGTTTGAATATAAATGTAGTGCCACCAATGCTACCCCCTGTTAGTAGAACTACAGTTATCATCCGACTAGCAACATATCAGTGAGGCTGTCTACTGCAGGTGGGCTAACCAAGCATAAAACAGGACGAATTATTAGCTCCTTATTCATTAATAAAACTCAGAATAGAAGAAAAATGACAAATGCTGCCCAATTAAAATCATGTTTTAGACAACTACTAAATTCAACATACGATTTCTACAGATTTTTTGATCAATCATTATTCATATAACTATATATGGTAGATCATAGTTCAGTAGTTTCTAGAATTTTTAGTTTCTGACCAATAAGTGAGGAATCATGATTTTCTAAATAGCTGAGCCCTAATTTCTACATATCCTTGGTGGACTTGGATTCAGCATTATTTTTCACTCAATCATATTTTTTTTATTAATGGGTAATGAGATTGTGGATCACTCAAAAGATAATGAAAAATATTAAAGAATTATTTAAAAAAAAAAAGGTTTATTTCTTGACTATTTTAATTAGGGACTGCTCCAATTGAATGTTAGTGAAAATCTGTAAAGCCCTGCTATAGCTGCTGATAAGCATTTTTCATGTTTCCAAATTTAAAAATTTTCCCTTGGCAGACCTAAGTCTTTCAGCTTGGAAGAACTCACTGCCATCACCCTAATCTTTAGCTCTCCCCACTGATTTTCCATTAGAATCCACTTATGACTCTGGGTGAGCCACTTTAGACCTGTTGGTCTAGAGTTCACTCCTATATCTGGCATAGGTTTCATCGTTTCAGACAAATTCCTGTGATTTATTTCTCGTGTATCTTTTTAATCACCTCTAATTCACTGTATTTCTTTACAATTGTTTCATTTTTATTGTTTAGTTTGATTCCTTAAGACCTTGATGCTACGTTCACACCACACATGCTTTGAGTAGCAAAATAGCACCTGTTCCTTCATTTTGATGCTTGTCCACATTAAGGTCAGACATGCCTCAAGAGCATCTTTGATGCTCCTGCATTGCGTCCAGTAACTTGTGTCCAGTTGCATCAGATGCTTCTGCTGCTCCTGTGTTCAATGGCAGAGAGCGGCTTTGCTATATTTGCTGTGATCAGTGGGTCAAAAGTAGTTTTATTATGTTTTTTATTCTAGAAAGTCCACCTAAAAACATTGTCCGTGTAGTCAGTTCATCAAGATTATTTATGATCCTGCTTTCAAATATTATTTTGCTGTCGGGGCCGCTCAGACCCCCACATACCGGCGGTGCGCTGTCACTGGGAATCACCAGCTGCAGCTGCATCAGGCCCAGTTGAATCTTTAGGGGGTTTTTCCCTACTGTTCCTGGCTGCTGGAAGTAGATGTTAGTGTTTTTCAGGTATGTGGAACAAACTGCAGGCATCAGAAAAATAAGAGCGAACATATTTTTACAGTAGTTTTTAGTTAATTATGCTTTAATAAACAGTTTCATGGGAGTGATCATGCCGCTCTGCATCAGCAGTTCTGTGTCTGTCTCCCTGCCAGCTCCCAGATCAGCTTCTCTGATTGGTTGATGCAGTGCATCGAGCACCAAAAGGTACATTTTCCAACTCCAGCATCTGCCGCTTGTGAAGCGCACCACACGCCTCAGATTCTCAGAAGATCATGAGACGCTGAATCTACTGGTCAGATGCGTCACGATGCACTGCTCCTGCTGCTAGATATGTGCTGCAGGACCTTATGATGTGCATTGATGTGCGTCAACCGTAGAGTTTGTATGTAACGCAGCTGTTTCTGCTGCATGTTAGGTGTAAACGTAGCACAGGACCCCCTTGCTTGTTGACTCCGAGATCATGTGGGGTCAAATGTTTGGACCATTGATATTTATAACTCCTATAAATGTAATTAAGTGTTGTTGTTTTTAATGGTTTTCTCTTTTTTGATAAAAGCTAATTGATCATTTAATACATCTTGTGGTTTCAAATATACTCTAGTATAAAACCAGGGTGTTTTTCATTAAGGGTATATCGTAGAATCCAGTGGATGCTTGTATCATACAAACTGGAACTTTATGTCAAACTTAACTATATTTGTTAACTTTGACATAAGTTAACAAATAACAAATACACACACAGAGACAGTTGCTCACACAAGGGTTGAGTCTTTTGCTGAAATCCCAGATTTTCGAGCTAAAACGCTCCTCATCTCATTGTTGACCCCATTCCAGGGTCTCACCTGCGCCTGTAGTAAGCCAGATTCAGTAGACAAGGTCCGATGGATTCGAGAGCAGCTCCCACCTCCGATGTATCCATCTTTATCACTGGAATGGCTCTGCGTGCCTTCAGTGGGGGAGTACTGCTGCTGATAATGTTCGCGCTGCCTGATATTGCCACACGGCGGGTAAGAGATAGGATGCTGGATATGAGACTGGCTGCGGTGAATTCGTGGCTTGTCGACTCCAATTCTTAGCTCACAGGCTCTCGATGCGTGCGTGGTGCTGTGGTCGTTTTGATACAGGGTGTCGGCTAGATCTCTCTTATAGTGTTTAGTGCTATGGGAGGCTTTGACCAGGGAGTGTATCACTGCTAACAGCAGGATTAGAATCCCAGACGAGAGTACGCAGGCGCTGGCAATACCCGTTTCCATCTCGAATATCAGGAGCATGAAGATGGACATGGCTGCCAAAAAGAAAAGGGAGAAGTTTGGGAAACAAGTAGATGTTCCTGTGCAGAGAATACCTTTACACACAACCAACAAGCTATTACACAATTTACACTAACTGTGCCGAGAACAGTGTGAGCACAGTAACCGAGATAACGTTTGAGCGTAAATGGAATGCAACTGAACTGGATCGTGCCAGACTGTATCGAACCGTGCTTAATCTAGTACTAGTTCAGTCAGCTCATTCAGTTCGAAAATGTTCCGGCATGTGCAGCTTTGCAATTCACAGATCTCTTCACTTGTTCACAACACAAAATTATTCTCAGTTTATTAACAATAAATGGCATCAAAAGAAGATGCCATTGATGATGAGGGATGCCTTTTTCGCCTGACATTTTGCGAACGACCAAATATAACTAATATAAACAAACATAAGTTCCTGAACCTTATGGACGCTGCCATATATGTTTGCGAAATTCCCGCCTTGAGAGCTGTGGTATCTTGGATCGCCGATAGGAGGTGACGAATCCTGCTAGCGTGATGTGTAAATGGTCATAAGAACCAAGCTCGGTCCAAACTCAGCATGGATCAGTTTCAGAGTGCTAGTGTAAATGGAACATATGAAGACGTTAAAGGGCTAATTTAAGGTAAACTGAACTCAAACTGAGAGATACTTTTCTCATCGATATCTGTTTGCCTGCAGGAAAAGGACAATGGACCCAGGGATGATGAAGGAAGGAGGGGAAAGGCACAGCTCTGGCATGTGATGCGACTTCAGGAGTTGGCCTTGACATTTTCCCTGCAGGTCTACCATTTGACTGCGACAGAGGTGGGCTCACCAGGAGACAACCAGCCATGATAGTGAAATGATCCCTCCACCACCACCCATCTGCTAAAATAACAGCCACTCTGTGGAGCAGAGTGCACCAGCACTGCCAGGTTCAGCATTAGAAACTCTTTAGTCATGGCTGCTCAAAGGATGCATTGTTCTCTCAAACTGGACGGCTGGATTAGAGGAAAAGCTGCAGCGCTGGTTTGTCTCTGCTGCTGAAAATCCACTTTAATAGCATTGTTTTTTGTTTACAACTTTTTTTATGGGTTATTTAATAAAAATGTAATTGGTCACATTTTGGAATAGATTTAACCATAACTGGTAACCAAACTGTTATCTCTTTTTTTTGTGTGTGTGTGTGCATTCTTACCTGCCAAATAGATAGACACCCCCAGACAGAATAGTCCAATAGCCACATGCCGCACAGCTCTGCTATCCAGGAGAAACCAGTCAGCTCTGTTGAAAGAGATCCGGTTTCAGCATCAATGTTTAATGCTTCACTTTTTAAGTTGTTGCATTGGTTAATAAAAATGGAAAAGCTTGTATTGTCACTTGTAAACTGATTATTCGTTTATTTGATATGTTAGTTTAATACTAGTTTTTATCCCCCTTTTGTTCACCAAAGTCTGGACCAGGGAAGTCCCAGGCTTTGGCGTTAAATTAGTAAACCGATGTGGGAAGGGCCAGCTGCCGTCCGCTGTGTGCATAACACTGCAAAACAATCTAGAAATAAGTCAACATTTCTTAAATTACCATATTTTCCGGATTATAAGCAGCTATTTTTTCCCATGCTTTGAACCATGAGGCTGATAAGAAGGTACAGCTGTTCTGTGGATCTTTCCTGACCGCCAGAGGGAAGAGTCCAAGTTGGAAATGAAACAATAAGGTGCTACTTTTTATTTAGCACAAGAACATGATGCCAGCAGACACAATGGAGAACAAATGTCCCGAATTCACACATTTTGACATTTATCTGCCTTATTAAAGCTGCTGAATGTATGTAGAGACTGGGCTCCGGCAGAGCTGAAATAAAGAGCTGACGAAGCCCCATCTTTCAGTAGAAGCTCTTACTGCTGCGAGCCAACAAGCTAACAGGAGTTAGCATTCTTTCTCGTCCTTACTCCACCGACTATAGGTAGAGCTCCCCCTACAGGTTTGGTTGGGGAACAGCTCAGTAGATATCAGCGGGTTATAGTGAGGTGTATTTGCCCCTAATTTGAGTACGCAAATAATATGTTTTGGTAGTGGAAGGAGTATTTTTACAGTAAAAAAAAAATACATAATATGCACTTGAAATTGGACAGTGCAATTTATTTTTATTTTTTTTTATGTAAATTTACTTGTTTGGTCGGCAAAGTATCTCACCTCCTAAATTTAAGATGAAATGCGTTTATTTTAAGAAAGAAAGACTGACTTTGGTTTAAATTTTTTACAGTGAACAAGAGTAAGGTCAGTATTTTGGACTGCAGGGTAGCCGGTCCAACTTTGCTCTATGAAAAATAGGCTAACCCCTCTTCTGAAACCATGCTTTCATCACACAAAAAACTGATGGTTAAATTTAGTATCCAGGGCAGGGCTATGGTTGGTTGGTGTCATTAAAACGAAAGAAGATGGTGTGGGCATTAGGAGAAACACTTGCAAACAGCTTATTCCTTTCATCTATAGCAACAGTTTTTAAAACAGAAAAAGAGGAACCAATGTAGGATATGAAGCAGTGAGCGGAAATACTTTTTTTTTTTCTCAAAATCTAAATGTGTAAGGAATTCCAGGGATCTGCCATCTCCATGGCAGCATTTCACTGTTGATAATTAACAATTAAGTTCCTCTATATGAAAGAATTATTACTGTCATCCAGGCAGGAATGAACTAAGCTAATTTCTGCTCGAAACAGAAAATGTTTTTAATGGAGAAGTGGTGTGTTAGATTAACTGTTACCAAACATGTTTACAACTTTTGTTTAATTAGTAGATTAGTAAATAAGTAGCGATTAAAGCTCATATATGAACCGATGCAAAACGCCCGAGTTTTGCTAGCAAGCATTAACCTGATCATATCATCTGGTAACTTTTTGGGGAAACCCTCTAAAAGCACTTTTCCTTCTGGAAAAGACCATCAAATGTTCTCTTAGGTTACTTCAAATCTTTCAAAGGTAAGAGAACATTCAGGGAACCTTAAACACCTAAACATTATACTTTGAACTCATCATTTTAACCTTTAGAAAAGGTTAAAAAGATGAGTTCCTTTAAAACTGATGATTTCTGATCTTCAGGGAACCTGAATGTTTCTAAAAGGTTAGTTTTAATATTGATGGAGAAAGTTTCTTGGTTCCTTAAACATCGTTCATTTGATCAAACCTAAGAGGGCATTCCTGAAAGGTTCTCTATCCTCAAGACTATTAGGAAATGTTGAAAGGACCTTCAGAGAATGTTTTGTTATGACAAACTCCTATTTAGAGGATCTTAAATGAACATAATGAAATCCTAAACAATAAGCAATGCTAATATTCCAGGTTTTTCTTGGCATAAACTAAGATGATGTTCACACAGCAGGCTGAGGTGAGCCAAATCCGATTCTTTTGCCCATATGCGACCTGTATCTGATCTTTTCATGGCAGTCTGAACAACACAGATCTGATTTTTTTTTTTTATTGAAACCCCGGCCGCTTGACTATGTGGTCCTGAATCCGATGCGTATCGGATCTTTTCGAAAGCGACCTGTGTCTGAACGGCCTGACCTATACACCATTAATACCCGACAAATGTTCTGCATCTTGCTACACAGAGGTGGCAAGAAAAACAACAACCATGCCGAACATCATCAATCCAGAGATCAGTCTTTATCTTAAACATCTTGAAATGATTGAGTTTTTAAGGTTGGGAAAGATGTTTAGATGTGCTCCATCACTACCATCCATGTTTACTTCAGTAAACACAGAGCATGATTGGTTGTGGCGTCATTGCGTTCTCTCCTGCTCATGCGGGACACTTGCATTGTATGAATGCAGTTCACAAAGGAGATCACATATAAGTCGCATATATTATATTTGGAAATAGAAACAGCAACACCAAAGAATTGGATTTCACAAAAAATCTGAATGAGCCTTAAAACCTGCAGCGTGAACGAGCCTAATTTTTCTCTTCAGATTACCTGCACCCTTCAGAACATGACCTCTGGAAAACCTTGATTACGTCCTCTCAAAGGTCAGCACAATCTTCCAAACATGACTCTTGAGAACATTAAGAAAAATATTCCCTGAAAATAAACTATAACATTCTCAATGTGGCCTGGAGAATCTACTGAGGAGAAGTTTGCTTCTGATGCAAATTTTTTTTGCTTTTAAAAACGAGTTGTACATCAGTTTTACAGCTACATCTTTAAAACATCAAATGCAGTAATTTTAGTTGAAATCTAATCTAATCATGACTGAAGTTAAAACACATTTTTGTTTGAGTTTTTCCTTGCATTTAAGTTTGGCAGTTTCAGAATCTAGTAAACTAAACTATTTCAGATTGAAACTTATTGATCGTCTTCCAATTTAGAAGCATTTAAAATGCTCCTTATCAGGTTTTGTTGATGTTTTGGATCTGCGTCCCATCTGGACCGAGGCGCTGCTGGTTGTGGATCTGCAGCAGCAGGCAGGCAGGCCGGGTACCTCTCAGTGTCCTGCTCCCCTCTGCAGACCTCCGTGGAAAAGTAGCTGTGGAGGAGACACACCACCACGCAGCTCAAGTTGAGGGTGAGGGACAGCGCTGACAGCACCGTGGAGACCGGCAGCAGGACGGCCCACATCTGAGCGGGGATGGCCGAGGAGGAGGCGGCGGAGGCGGACTCCTTCACCGCCGCCTGCTGGGTCTGCAGCTGGAAGATTAAAATCACCGATAATACAGTCATGATGGCGGACAGCACCCCCAGTAAAGACACAACTATCAGGGATCTCTGGCTGTACTTCAGCGCCATGATTATCCAGAAACTGACTTCGGGAAAGAAAGAAAAGTTCCCGATAGCCTAGAGGGATTCCAAGGTGTCCCTGCGGCCCCACGGCCCCACGCCCCGCGCGGCCATCCCAGTGGGTGAAAAATGTTCCCGGCTGTAGAAACGTTTTGCTCCTGGGTTTGGATTTCAGTAAGAAGCCGCAGGACGCCCCGTGACGGGATTTAAACCCCAGATTAAAAAGTTCGCCGCAACAAAGGAGTTTTTCTCCTGGACCGCCGGAAAACATGCGTGGATGATCCACGGGAGAGCGCCCCTCCCACAGACACCGAAAAAAACAAATTAATGTCAAATTATATGTCAGATATGTTATAAAACAAAAAGAAAAATTGTTTCTTTTCTGGAAGGTTACACTGATAAACTGAAAGTTAGATTTAAAATAACTGAAGTAGAATATAATAGAATAAAAAATCCCTTTACTGTCCCACAATGGGAAAATTCTGGTGTTTACAGCAATAAAAAGTTTATAGAAAAAATGGTCACACAAATGTGGACCTTAGAAAAGTGTAGAAGAATAACATAATAGTGAAGAGTTTAAAAAATAAACAATATAAATACTGTGCACTTGGAGAACAAATAACCAATATACAACTATGGACATTTTTACAGTAATGGATATTTGAAAATAGTAGCTACATCAGATATGTTTTTAAAATGACAGCAGCATGTTATTTAACTGACTAAAGTAGAAACTGAAAAATCACCATAAATCTAACAACTAGTTGAGGTTGTTGGGAACATTGCTAAATAAAGTATTAAGTATTAAAGTATTTGGTTATATATTTTAAAATGTGTAAAGTAAAATTTTTTGTAGTTAGGTCAGTTTTGTTGCGTTTTTGTTGATATAATTAATCCTGGTGATAAAAAAAGGTAAGCTTTCATCCACCGGTTTATTTTGGAAGGTGTAAGATTCATTAATCTTCAAATTATATGACAACCATTATAAGGGTTTTAATCATAAGAAAAAAGGATGAGAGCCCCTGGGTTATACCTATTTTAGGGGCAACACAAATAAATAAAATACAAATTCACTTGATTTCATCTCTGGAAGAGAGGTTCCTTTTCTGATGTGTTTCCTATAAACTTTGCATAATTTGTAGAATTGATTTCTCTCATACTGTATGAAAACAATGCCACCAGAATAAGAAAAAGCCGTCTGGTTTAATCCCCATAGATTTTTTTTTTCTTAAATGACCATTATGAGACTATCCCCCTTTTATAAAAGATCAAATTATTTGAATTTGTTTACTTCAAAACAAGTGGTTCCAATCAAGACAGAGGAACCTTTTTATTTAATAGACTTGCATGTTGTCCTTCATGTGTCTTTTAAGAACTTCATGAATTACTCCAAGCGAAAAATATACAACCTAAAATCATACGTTTAACTTGCTTTTATAAACTGCACATACAAAAACAGACAAAACGATTTTTCAAGATCTTAAAAAGAAATGCTTCAAGGACAGGTTCTGCAGAGCCTTGGCATTTAAAGTAAATAATGTTCTATCAGATTTGCTCCTAAATAATCAGCACACAAACATCTGTGTGGACATGATAAAAGGCCCGTGTCTACTTTTAGATTAGCCTACTTCTTACGCTGTAATATGACCAGCCATCCTGGTGAAGAGATTAAAGGATTAATGCTGGTCTTTTTAGCAGGACATTACACTATCTATTGTGGGTAGAACAAAGCACCTAAGCAACCATGGCAAAAAAAAAATAAATGCTGCACAGGACTCGTTTTGACATTCCTAAAATTTCTTGAGTCATCATTGGACCATGTCAGTCGAACATTAGGCTGCTTGAGGATTTTGCAGCAGAGCACCCTCTTTAAACTTCTTATATTGCGAAATGTGCTTTTTGATTTTTCTCTTGGTGCTAATAAATCCACTCACTTCCATGCAGCAACTTACTTACCATTCATTTTAATCTCACTTAATACAAAATGATACTTTATATGTAGTTCGTAAACTTGCTGCTAGACCACAAGCACCTTGACACACTTAAAGCCTGCGACTTTTGTTACAAAGGCCTATTTGTACTCTTACAAGTTGGGGGTTGGTGGGAAGGTAAAGGTGTAACCCTTATTCTGTTGAGATGTAGATAAGGCTGTAGCTATAAAGATGCACAATGTGAACAATTGCTCTCACACATGTACACTGACCATGTAGGCTATTTCTGAATCCGACAGCTTCACCACATGCTCTAAAAGGGACGTGGCTGATCTTGTTGAAAGCAGAAGTGAGAAGTTTCAGGAAAATAAAAAAAATAAAAAAAGATGTGAACTTCTCAAAGACACCTTTATCTCTGCACAGCTTCTTCTTACTTGATTTATCACTGATTCCAAATGGTGTGTGAATAATGTAGTGATTCGATCCCCCCATAGTCTGCTATAGTAATGATGAATTTACAGAAATTCACAAAAAATACAGCTCCTATGAACATCCCACTTAGGAAAGACAGGTTTTCCCTCTACAGCAGCCAATCAGCTTGCTGTGTTCGGAGGCGACCTAGCATGATCCCTTTGCAGGCTAACAGCTCCCACGTACTTGAATCCTGGAGGTAAAGGCTGTGGCAGTCAGCAGGGATGTTGCTAAGTATTGCATCAGATGTACAGTTTGAGACTTTCCTCTTGGGATTTCAAGCCAAGAGTGTCTGAGTAAACGCTGTTGTATGCGTCTCCCTGTTGTTTTTCTGATCATGTGTGAGGCACTGAAATTGAGCCTAATTATCTCTGCTAATAATTTGTCACCATATTATTTTTAGGAGAGCCGTACATTGTTGTGCTTCCCAGAAATAGACAATAATGTGCCTCTCGCACTGATTCATTTAATAGCTCTAAATATATTAATTGACAGCATGTCTGCTCTCCGTTTTGATTTTCATTTTCTTGTTTTGACTTTTTTTTTCTTTTTCTAACTACTAACGATCAGTTGCCGGCTTTTATTAATGATATCCAGGCTACCTGATTCTTTTTAGCAACAGATGTTTATGGTCTGCATGCTTATTTAAGCAAAGGAATCATGCTTGTATTAATGCATTCTACACAGGCTGGTCCACAGACGTTTACAGGTGCAGCTCCATAAAGCAGAATGAGTTTAGTTAATGAATTCTGTAATTGCACTGGAAAACTGAAGCTTTTCTTTGTGTAATATCTCTCCACCATTTATTTTTTATTATTTGCTGATCAAAGCTTTTTAATCCAAGACTATTAGCCAGACATCTTTGAACTTTGCACAAAATGCTTTAATACTTTTTGCTCTGTTCAATGCATCCATGGTCTGTTGCACGGAGGAGACCAGCTTGTGGCTCTGCTGAGGCCTTAAGGAAGCCCTGGCTGTTTTCCCAGTGTTCTTCATCTTCCATTACATCTGCATTGCTGCCTCTTATTTTGTTCCTGACAACAGCCACTGATTCTCTGAGGGCTTTGGGTTAGGCCGGTCCGATCACTGTGGCACTATGGCCATGAAAACCGCTTTTAGTAGGTTTTAGTTAGTGAAAAGTGAAATCAGTATCTTCACAAAGCTTCTCAACAGATGAAAGAGCAAAGTCACTTTTCCCAATAAACAGCTGTAAAGACTTTGGATTTGATAAAAGTGGACCAACAACATCCATTGAAATTGCAATTTGGTTTATATCCACTCTCACTCTAACCTTTTATAGCTTACAAATTAAATGGAAAATGACATATAAAAAGAGGACTAAACTTAAATAGAGTCTAAATTTTCATTAGTGCAAGTGAAACATTTCTGACTTTTTTTTTTCTAACTGAGGAGTGAATTAAGACAAGTAACCAGACACATGTATCCTGTGTTCAGAATACCGTTTTGTTGGCTAGCCTTAACACCATAAATTATAATCCTGAAGTTATCCTATTGCCTGTGTACATTGTTTTTCTTTTCCTTTCACTAAACTTTTCATCACAGTGCTACCATCTTCTTTAGCGATAATCGTTTTGGGCTTTTCAGTGATAGTCTGCTGGACACTTCCCTATAACTGCATAATGTCTATTGCATCTCTATTTAAAACATTTTTTTCTAATATTCTGAGAAACAGAATTTGGGGGTGTGTACACCTAACACAAATATGAACTCACACTTTTGTTTTGTTCCCAATTTTTATGATGAACTCAAAGATCTTAAAGTTTTTCCACATACACAATAAAATTATTTCCCTCATGAACCAGTCTAAACTTGTGATTGTGAGCACTTCTTTGCTGAGATAATCCATCCCACCTAACAGGTGTGCCATATCATCATGCTGATTAGACACCATGATTAGTGCACAGGTGTGCCATAGACGGCCTGCAATAAAACGCCACTCTGAAAGGTGCAAAATAATCAGCACACAAACATCTGTGTAATATTACTGCATAACTGTAGAATACAGTTTCAGATGTCTGGATGTAGCAGTAAACTCAGGTTACTGGATTTTTAAATGTTCTCCAAATCTGTATAATAATCAATATACACTCAAACAGAAGGCTTAATGATCTAACACCTCAATTCTTACTCTTTCCATTCAAACTTCCTAAATCTTTTCAGAAAAAAATCTGGATTGTTTGCTGTTTTGCGTTGGCCAACTAGTGCTTGAAAAACCCCAGCCTTTGCTATTTCCTTCTTTAACCTAAACTATAACACTCATCTGTCACTAAAGTGATGGCTGAAACTTTCACACTTCCACCTTTCGCTTTAGTATTATTAGTATTTTTTTTTTTTTGTGGTGGTCTATATACTTTAATTCAAGAGAATTTGAAATGGTCCTCCACAATTGATCCGGAGACTAAACTTAACAATTTATTTTCTACTGGTTCTGCTAAAACAACAGATTAAACATTTTTCTTCCATTTATTCAAAAACTTGTAATTGAGCTATTTCAATATAGTGAAATCTGCAAACTAACGGTCCACCCAGTGGACACAAGGGATATAATTAAAAGCTAAGAGTGTCAGCTGTTAGGGGACGACATTCACTGTGTTCAAAGTAAGCAGACTAAAGCCTCTTTCTTATGGAAAATAACGCATTAACAGGTGTTTTTTAAAACGTGTTTTTCACCACTGCGACCAAAATCAGGAAAGTAAACAATGGAGTGCAACATGTAAGGAAGCCAGGGCGTAGTCAGTGAGCTTTATTGTTTTGCTTATTATCCATCTGAATCCCTCTCACCAGAGGTTTTTCATGTTTATCAAATGTAAACAGAGTTGTTTCAGCTTGTTAGATCACACAGCCTGGTGCGGTGAGTTGATCACCATACTTTGCGTTCAATGGTGTC